TAGCGCGCGAAGCGCGGCGGGCAGTCTTACGCGCGTAAGACAGCCCGATGCATGCTTATTCGCGGATCTTTGTTAATTAAAATCTCAGTAACTATTGCGAATCTAGCAAAATGGTATAGGACTTTTCACCTCAGTTGTATTCCTTCTATCTGCCTACGAGAGATGTTAAACCAATTCTGGGACACCCTGTATATATATATATATATATATATACCGTAATTATGTGACCGAAGTCAGTACAACACCGCCGCGGTCGCGCGGCCGAGGTCAGTGACCGCTCCCCCCCACCAAGGCCGCGCGGCCGAGGTCAATGACCCCGCCAAGGCCGCGCGGCCGAGGTTAGTGACCCCGCCAAATTCGCGCGGCGGAGATCAGTGACATTACTGTAGTATGTATATAATACATATAATACAATATAAAGTATAAGATTATAAATATATAATAAATTATATGTATAATATGTATTATTTAATGTTATATATAATATAAATTACACAGTCACGTTATTTTCACGTGTTGTTTTTCTACTCTTTCCTGTCACGTGACTTTAGTTACGTTTTTAATTTTCTCTACATATACGACGAACTGTCTCAAAATCCCTTTTCATTATTTACTCTCTCGATCTTACCGATTCGATTCGACTCGATCAACCAACCAACCAATCGGCAACGCGGAAAAGAGGCAACAATAGGTGCGATATATTCGACTCCAAACGCGCACTTCTCGGTCCAAATGCCTTTTTGACTTTTTGTATATAGATAGATAGAATTGCTAACATATTTACGATATTTCAAGTTTAATTTTATCATAAAACGTTGAGTTTTTTAAGTTTCATTTTAATTTTTGTTAAAGCATTTTACATATAAATTACGTATTTTATAAATAAAAGATAAAACCTTTGAATAAAGATTTTATTAATACAAAAACTTAAGATAAAGATTTGATTAATACAAAATTCTATTGTTTTTCAACCCTTTTGCTCCGAAGAACATATATGTATGCCCTCGAAGAATGGATATTCAGATACGAAGAGCGTATATATACGTCCCCGTACCATGTATATTACTATATTATTTTATTTCACGAGTATTTATAGAACAGAAAACGCAATTGTGTCAATTGTCAGCATCGCGAGTTTGTCAGCTACGCGTTCTATCCACAGCAATTATATTTTGTCACAAGCGCACTGGAGAAAAAGGGTTAAAATAATATATAACTCTTGTTAAACAATTACATATATACGTTCGTCTCTTATTTCTCGGGATGGCTCAACACGTCCCGTACATTGAAATGGAATAGATTGGATCACTCTGACTTTTTTCATTCAACATTTTTACTTACGTACGCAATATTTTAAGAATCTATGAGTGCTTACTTCTTGAGCTAGATAAATATGCTATCTTTGAATTCTCATTAATTTATCATAATTGTGTGAGAAAATTTATAATTGTTCGAATAAAAAAGGTGACTCAACTAAGCCCTTCCTGTCACCCTATTGTGCATTTTTATATTCTATTGATTGATTATCGGCGTATTCCACTGCTTGATAATTATCGTTTGATGCATTCTCGCTCTCGAGAACGCATCTCACGCGTCTCTCTTGAAAATCTTTTCGCCAGGATTACTCCATGGATTGCTACTTCCGGCAGTCGTGGCGCGACTCGCGACTGAGTTTTCTGGATCCGAGTCCCGGAATCAAGTCCCTCAGCCTCAGCATCAAAATGCTCGAGAGAATTTGGCGTCCCGATACGTATTTCTACAACGGCAAGCACAGTTACGTGCATACGATCACCGTGCCGAACAAATTGCTAAGGATCTCCCAGCACGGCGACATATTGTACTCCATGAGGTTTGTTTGCGCGTGAATTTACAATATCGATTCACACCTAACAAATCGAATTCGATAAGACTCTTCATACGCGCGAGATTCGCATTTCTATCATTTTGCTCAAATAAATAAATTTAACTTCATGAACTTGCCGATATTTCGCTCTTTTCGCGAAGTGATCTCTCGCTCATCGCTCAAGTCAAATAAAACATTTTATTTATCGAACTTTTAAAATTTTAATATTTAATTTATTCTATTATACATATTTTTATATACTGCTTTATAGGGAAGTCTTTTAATATAATTTTAAGTGTAATATTTTGTGTTCATTGTATTTTTTTAAGTGTTGTCTTTCAAAATCTGTGCAGGCTCACTATCAAAGCTAAGTGTCCTATGGAACTGAGGAACTTCCCCATGGATCGTCAATTCTGTCCGTTGATAATCGGAAGCTGTGCGTATTAATTCTCTCGAGCGCATCCAACCAGTAAACCTCTATTTCCGGTTTTTTTTGTGTCGCACTTTCCAAATTGTTCGAAAAGATCGTTTGATACCGCGTCGGTCCAAACTCATCTCAACGGGATCGAATTCGAAATCAAAACAAATAACACTCGATCCGCATGCTGTCGCGTGTCACGTCGCGTTACTCCTCGTGCGCATAACGTTCGCCGATATTACTCCTCACGCGACGGGCGTGCGCGAGCGCCGGAGTTATGATCGCAATAAATTCGATATATTCCTTTAAGTACCGTTTTGATTTTTAATACAACAGGCGGTGCCTGTATGTGTGACAGTACGACCGTCTTATTTGTACAACAGCTGTCACATCGAGATCTACGATGCGACACAATGTCGGAAATTTGTTATCATATAAGCGCGCCGCGGGGCGAAATCAAAATCCGCGTGATTTAAGATTAGCGTTGTACCCGACACATTCGGGTCTTTTTTTTTTTTTTTTTTTGCAGAAACAATACGCGCGGGAATAATGCAATCCCGAGGATATGTATACATTATAGATATATCCGAAAGTGTATCGGACGGATTCTGTCTTGTGTTTTCAAGGTTTGAGTGATAAAAAATAAATAACGCAATATTCGGAACACACTTCCGAGAATTTTAGTACTTTGTCAGAGTAATCTCGTTTTGTTTCTACGTGCTGCAGATGCGTACACGTCGGGACAATTGATTTACGAGTGGCAGGAAGGCTTATCGGTGAACTTCGTGCCTGGAATGGCACTTTCGCAATTCGACTTAATGGGCTCGCCGTATAGAAATCTCACGTATGTTCGTCGCGAGGGCGAATTCTCCGTGCTGCAGGTGTCTTTCAATCTTCAACGGCATACCGGCTACTTTCTAATACAAGTAAGAACGCAAAAGCGCTCGTTGCGAATTAAACGTCGAATTAAACGTAATAATTTTGTCTCTCTTTCAACACGGTGCAAACGAAGTATAAAAATATGAGCAACGCGAAGCTTTTGTTACATCGGCAGGTTTACGTACCCTGCGTTTTAATAGTCGTGCTGAGTTGGGTGTCTTTTTGGATTCATCGCGAGGCGACGAGCGATCGAGTGGGTTTAGGTACGTTCCTCTTCCGAAAATTTATTCACATCTGTGAAGCATCTTCAACATTTTTGAAATTTCTTTTGAATTTTAATATATGCGGTTTATATATATATTTATCATTTATCTTTTTTGTATTCAGACGTGAATTAATCCCACACAATTATTTTTTAATCCTTAAAGATTATTGTGGATAAAATTTTACCCCGTGCAAATTTTGTTTTGATGTTATCAAAAATAACGCATCCACTGGCAACACAATTTTATGAGCATTGTTCACACAATCAGACTTTTTTTGACGACATCGTTTATTTTTAAAATGAAAAAAATATATACTGGAGTGGAATTTTATCCATGAGAGCACTAACGTGACTTTGTACAATAGCTTTTAAGGATTAGATCTAGTGCATTGACAATTTGTAAATATTTACCGATTTGAATAGTTATATAAGTCTTTCATGGAGAATCAGTATGTATTTCACTAATTTATTCAGTTTAAGCACTTTTACTGTGCGAATCAATACTTATTTACTGGATCAATCAGTAAATATGAATATACTTCTAAAATAATTTATTAAATAAAAAATTTTTTATTTTTATATTATATATAATTAATGTCTTCCAGTAAGTTTTCTTCATTATTCTTTACGTTCGAACCGGCCCAGTGGTCTCGCTTGAGTGCGAAGGCTGCGAGCGAGAGGTCCCGAATTCGAATCCACATTGTCGGACTTTTCCGGGCCGGTCTCTTTCAAGTTGAGTTCATCGATTGAAAAAATCGAACTGAATCGAGCCCTCCAATCAGTTTGAATTGATTGTGGGAGATGTGGAAGAAAAATGTAAAAAAATACTGTAGTAACCCCCCTGAGGAAAATCAATAAAAATTTCGTTATTCTTTACGTTGTCCTAATGTTAATTCGTAGAAAAAAAAATCTATCTTGCGCCAGGAATCATTTCGACTGGACTTGAACTAGAAACCCTCTTTGATTGTCAAGTGGACTCTCTCAATCAATTCAGCCATTGAAACTTTCAAGAGCAATTATTGCAGATTTAATATATTAATGGAATTCAGTGAAATTGTTACTGATTCTCAATGAAACTATTCGTCACTAAATCAATCAGCGAAATTAATTGATTATCGGTGAAACTAATCTGTCACCAAATCAATCAGTAAAATTTTTATCGATTCATCTCTAAAAGAGGCATTCTTTCACTTCGAATCAGTGATATTGTCATTGATTTCAAATGAAATTTTTTGTCACTGAATTGATTAGTGAAATTTAAAAACTGATTTTACTTAAAAAAGATTAATATTCTTAACTTACGTACGGAAAGTTTATATTGTTTTTCTCACACTTTCCTTTACAAAAATTTTATAGGCACCCATATATACGGTATCGCGGTATCGCGCAACGAGATATCCAAATAACACTGCCAAATATATTTTGCAGGTATCACCACCGTCTTGACGCTATCAACGATAAGCCTCGATTCCAGAACGGATCTGCCAAAAGTTAGATACGCCACCGCTCTGGATTGGTTTCTCCTGATGAGTTTCGGTTACTGCATCGCCACCCTCTTGGAGTTCGCTGGTGTTCATTACTTTACGAAGGTGACAACTGTGATTCTGCGTATCTCGCAATGTTTCATCTCTGTTCAACAGTTTCCTCGCTTTGCAGCGGAAATCTTACATCTCGAGAAGTTACGGGATATCTGAGAGGGGAGAGGGGAAACAGGGGAAAGAAAGATGGATTAGAATTTAATTAATAGATTGGATGTCGACGTTTTTTTTTGTGTTAAACTTTTTTTTCCAAAATATGCGTCGAAGAGTTTACAATTTACATACGTACTTGTTCGTTTTTTTTTTTTTTTTTTTTTTTATTAACAATCATAGGTCGGTAGTGGCGAGATTCCGTTGGAGGAAGAAGAATGGGAGGAGTGGGAAGGCATCGCGAACGAAGAATTCGAAGATAGACTTCGCACGATGATCTCTTGCAGTCCTCAAACCGTTCATCCCGAGGTCATCGACACAAATACCAGAAAACGTGGCTCTCTCATGTCCGCGTTGTACAGCGTTAGTTGAACTACATAATATCGTTTCAATTTATTGATTTTTAAAATTTTGACAATTTTCCTCTTAGAGTTGATCGCCTCTTGTCATCAATTGAAATTTGATACTTTCAGCAGGATGGTGTCACGTACGAAAAAGATTCGTGTCGTTCGATTACCGTCGCCGTCTCCTCGAAACCGTCGACGATGGAACGACAAACACAAACCGAACTCGTTCTACCGATTTGGCGGCAATTTTTCTATTGCCTAGCGGGCGATGAGACTTTTAGGTATTGTTACATTTTTATAAAAAAAAAAAAAAAAAAACCAATCTCTAAGAAAACTCAGCTACTCAATTTCACATGTAATTTTCTCTTTTTAATTTTATATATTTTATTACAATTTTTTTTCTGCATACTTTTTTTTGTTTTTATATATATTTTTTTTTGTATTTGCTGTTTACCGATTAATTGACACACAGGCGTCGTCGGCAACGGGAAGCCGCCAGCAATTATCGCAAATGCGGCGATCGTATATCGAGACACATCAACAGCGTGTCTTATATCGACAGAGTGGCGCGAATAGTTTTTCCCGCGTCTTTCGGCCTGCTTAACGTTTGCTACTGGGTCGTTTACGTAACCTATCAAGAAGAATTTAAGTGGCAGGACCCACCGATCGGATCAATCACGCCAATCTCTCATTAACAAGATAATAACAATATGCAATGCACGCGCGGATAATGTATAATCGTCGTAATAAAAAATAAAAAAATAAAAACATTCACATATTTATCGTTTCAGAATTTCAATTTAAATTTCGATAGATGGCTATTTCCAGTTCTTATCCTTCAAAGGCTATGGTCTCTTTCTATCCTCATCTCTTTAATATAATACACATAATCCTTTGCATGCGTGATCGCATGACGAATGTGTAGAACGAAGCGATCTTCGCAATAGTGACTGTTAGTTTTTGTATTTTATCAATAGCGTTTTTGACCGCTTTACTGATTGAATCGCTCTTGGAAGCAATTAATGACGTCACTTTGGCAAATCAATAGGTTAGATTTGCCAAATTGACGTCATTGAACGCTCCCGAGCGGTTGCTTGGCTTTATTGGGCATTTAAACGCTCCGAGAGCAATTCAATTCCTACGGATCGAAAATGCTATAACATCAACGGGCGTATAATTATTTTCTGTCCGCGCGTCTGATTGGTCCTCGATGTGAATAAGGAAAAATGCGATAACCAATCATTCACGCATGTTATTTCCGGATGACGCGGAGGCAAGTTGCCACGTAAAGAACAACGAGAAGCGACGACCAATCAGTTCCCGAGTTTCGGTTGTCAAAGAGGGAGGTGATTGGTGGCTTTATATCGCGTAGACCGTTTCTTGCTACGGAACGACATAGCCGATCGACTGAAAACTGTATAAATCGGGAACGGAAGTGTCGGAATATATCGGTATCATCATCATTTGTGGTAGAATTTCATCCTATTTCTATGTGAGTATATATTCGACGACAATTTGATTGGAGAAGTAACGAGTAGTTTCTCAATTATAACCTCTAATGTCAACGATGCATACTTGATTTTCGGAAAGTTGGCAGGTCTGGCAAGTCCGACGCTTTAATGTGATATTTTGAGAAAAATTAAAAATTCTCTTGCTTAAGTTTATGTTCGTAAGAATACAAACGGTCCATTGCGAAGTGTCCATGTGCTTGTCTAACATGTATACAACCTTGCGTTGCTTTGAGTTTTCGCCGTGCTACGATCACAGACAGTGTTCCGATATTGGAGAGGCTGTACGCGCATGCGCGGCGTTTATAACGTCACAAAAGTATCTAAAACAAGTAATATGGGGTACTGTCACTGGAACCGATTATTTCATTTAAAATTTTTAAAAAAATGTAAATATAAAGGTGACACACG